CAGGCGTGCCTGGCTGGTGCGGTGGGAAGAGCACACAACTCTCGATCCTCACGTGGGACTCGAACTTATGACCCCGAGATCAAGAGTCACGTGTTCTCCCCACTGAGCCAGCCAGGCGCCCGGCATGTTTTAAATGTGTGCATATATAATGCATAAAAGCATGCATGGGACTAGTAGACGCTGAGTTCAAGACAGACGGTTATCTGGGGTTGGGGAGGGACGGGTTGGGGAGGGCTACACCAGGGGCCTCAACTGCATTTTTCTTCTTCCTTTAAAAAAATTCATAAGCAACCGCGGAAAAATTAGGATTTGACAAAACCACGAGGTAGGTGCTTGGGTATTTATTATTCTGTGTGGTTTTTCTGTGCGTGCTTTAAAGAGTGGATGCTTTAAAAAAAAGAGAGAACTAGAAAATGTGCCTCCCTAATGGTGACTTCAGGTTTTCTCTTTCTTTCCCTGTCCCTAGGCTCTCCTTAAACTGTGGGGCTCCACAGACGACTACCCCAAAGACATCCTGACATACACCGAGCTTGTGCTGGACCCTCAGGGCCAGCTGGTGGAGATGAACCGCCTCCCTGGAGGAAATGAGGCAAGAATTCAGCAGAGCCCAGCCCCTGGCTGGAATCACCCTTTCCAAAAATGTCCCCCTGAAGAAACAAACCGTTTTCCTCGTGTGTGCATCCCCTCGGCAGGTGGGCATGGTGGCCTTCAAGATGAGGTTTAAGACCCGAGAGTATCCAGAAGGGCGGGACGCGATCGTCATCAGCAATGACATCACCTTCCGCATTGGATCCTTCGGCCTGGGAGAAGACCTTTTGTATCTGCGTGCGTCTGAGATGGCCCGGGCGGAGGGTATCCCCAAAATCTACCTCGCAGCCAACAGCGGGGCCTGTATCGGCCTTGCAGAGGAGATCAAGCACATGTTCCAGGTGGCTTGGGTGGACCCAGGAGACCCCCACAAAGTACGTCACAAAGCCAGCCTGGCGGTGTGGCGCCACCTGGTGGGGTTGATGGCGCTCACAAGGGGGCGGAAAAAATCTTAGCGGTCTTTGTGTACAAAGCACAGACCTACGAACAGCACACAAAAGGCGTATAAAGTTGATCAGTATTAACATTTCATGAGACGGGGTGACAATTAGGAAAAAATGTCCTAAAAAGGCACCTTAGGGGAACGATAATGAAGACAAGTTTATAAACGTTGAGCTAACATAGGCTGAGCACCTCCTGAATGCACTGTACATGAAGGATACAAAGGTGAATGAGACATAGTCCCTGGCCTCAGAGAATTCTCAGAAATGATCTGGGAGACGTAGAGGCACCAGCCACGATAAAGGCGCAGTGAATGAGAGAAAAGCGCGCATTTCATGATGGGGAACTGCAGGGGACAGTTATTTTTTGCAGGCAAAGCATGCATTCTCAAGGGGGTGATCCTGCCTCTGCCAGAGGGGCAAAAATTATTCTTTTCATGTAAAAAGCATGTATACATACGTACACACACACATATATAGATACGCATACATACGCATGGTTCGTAAACTATATAATAAAATTTGGTGGAGGGAGCTGGCAAGAAGGGAACAAAAGAGACCCTTCAGGGGAGCAATGATGAAAAGATCGTTGAGGAACTGAATCAGAGCAGGAAAAATGTGAGGTTGTGTGTAAAGATGAGTGGAAAGCTCTTAGCACTGATCAGACCTTCAGTTTATAGCCGTTATGAATATGGTATTAACATCAGACATGTTAACTAGGCTGTTAACACATTGTTGACTCATTATTAACCTCCGCCCCTATAGTGTTGTGGTTTTTTATAAAAAACATTGGCTGTCGAGTGCAGGGAGCTGAATTCACAGCCTCACTGGAGTATATATATTTTTAAGGGATTTAAATACCTGTACCTGACGCCTCAAGACTACACCAGAATCAGCTCCCTAAACTCTGTCCGTTGTAAACACATCGAGGAAGAGGGAGAGTCCAGGTAAGTAATTTATCAGGTAGCTCCTTCATTTTGCCTCTGGTCGATTTCAGCTGCTAATGGGCAATCCCTCTCATTGCCTCTGGGCTTGTGGGTGACGTTTTCAAATGGGCTGGTGGTGTTTGTACAGTGGGGACCCCTGAGCTTTCTGGACACCGACGACTTAGACCCCTGGGGAATTCTCCAGGGTGAGCCCTTCCTTGCCATCCCAAAACGAGTCACAGCTTTCATAAAAATAGTACCTCACGCAAGAAGAATTAGATGGGTTCCCCGGAGCTGCCAGCTCATGTTTATGCCCAAATTAGCCAGACTGACACAGCAGCGATTTGGCAGGCTGGTAAGGTGTAGGCAAGGTGGGAGTCTGCTCCAGTGAGAAGGTTCAAGGCTACCAGCTACCAGCTATCTTTTCCAGGGAGTTTTGCAGGTGTTTTGTTTTGTTTTGTTTTGTTTTGTTTTGTTTTGTTTTGTTTTGTTTTAGTGAGGTTGACAAAATCAGAATTTCCCAGCTAGGTTTTCTGGAATGTTAGTTGGTGATATGTTGGGGGGGGGGGGAAGGTAGTGTAGAAAAAGTTCCATAATCAACTAAGTTGAGGAACACTGGATTTAAAGGAGATCTAAAAAGCATCTTTACTGCAGGCCTTCTCAGAACCTTTAACGGTTGCAGTGTCTTGTGAATCTTTAACAGGGGCTGGGCTGTATAGTGGCTTACACTTCTGTGGCCATAGAATCTCTTGACTGACTGATTGGTTGATTGACTGACTGTGAACTAAGTGGCTTTCCCCGTCTCTCTGTAGACCAAACGCTATTCTAGATGGTTTTTGGAGGTAGGCAGGGTGGGGGCAACATTTCATGAGGATAGCCTCCAAATAGGCAGACATCTTTGGTTGGAAGGGTGATAATTACTGATGCTGTACTTGCCCTTCTAGAAAATTCAGGACCAACTGTGAAGGTCCTAGACCTCTGCTTTCCTTTCACCCCTGGCTGCTTTGTCACCTTCTGTTCCCTCACCTTGCTCGTCCGTCCCTCCTGCCCTGGGTCCCGGGGAAGTGCGTCCGCCTTGAATTTTTCTGGGCTAGAGCTTGGTCTTGAATCCATGCTCGGTTCGTGAAGGTATGTCATCACGGATATCATCGGGAAGGACCGTGGCCTGGGCGTGGAGAACCTCAAGGGCTCGGGCATGATTGCAGGGGAGTCCTCCCTAGCTTACGAAGAGATCGTCACCATCAGTATGGTGAGTCTCCTATTATACTTCCTTTTCCTTTTCACCTTTCTCTTATGGAATCTTTGTAAGCGTCCCGGAAGTAAAGAGCCCCGTGCGTTCATCATGCAGTTGCAGGGATTGTCAGCCAGCAGCTCGTCCTGCCCCCTCGGTCCCTCTGCTCTCCTGTTTGGGGATATTTTAAAGGAAGCCCCTGGCCCTGTCTCTCCATCTGTGGATGCTCCGATGCAGATCTTTACTAGATAAAGACCTTCCCCCGCCATGCTTTTTTACAAAATGACAGTACTGTTCTTACACCAACATCAACAGCAATACTTTAATATCCTTGAAACCTGGTTCGGGGGTCAGTTTTAACAATTATCTCAAAATGTATCTTCTTATTTAAAAGGTACTGAGTATTTAGAAGAACTTTTGTCGGGTTTTAATTGGTACTGAATGAATATCTCCACTTCCCTCCCTTGGCCTTTTCAAAAATATTTGCTGTTTCTGGTAATACTATTCTTTTCATGGTAGATTGTCGTTTAAGACCTTATCTTTACATTCGGTGTTGGATCTTCAGTTTCCAGGCTGGAAAATGTGGCCATGAGTGTCTTCCTTAGGCTAGTGTTCTGCATCTCATTTACATATATTTCATACATGTTTCAAAATCTATATATATTAATATCTACAAAAGATATGTATTTTTATATGTTCCAAAGTACATATTTTGTATGTATCATATATAATATCGTTTATATCGATATGATATATATGATATATGTCATAATGTATATATATCATTATGATGGTGACATCATGATATATGACATATATATGACATGATATGACATATATAATATATAATTACATGATAATACATATCACACATATATATAATGATATAACATTTATATGCATTATGACATATCACATATCATATAATTATATATGATGATGTAATATGTAATTATATATGACATATATCGTATATATAATTATATATGATGACATATATATGTGTGTATTTATCTATATATATGTATATATAGATAGATATAGATAGATAGCTATGTAGATATATATAATTTTGAAAAAGTTTACGACTGACTCACCAGAAGTTACAAGCCAGTATAGAGAGGTCCTCTGTCCCCCTCACCCAGCTTCCCCCAAGGCAGTATCCTACATAATACATTATCGAACCCAGGACATTGACATTGGCACAACACTCTTACCTTGGTATAGACCTTAGTCAGATATCACCAGTTTTGCACGCACTCCCAGATGCCCTGTGGCTGTGTGAGAGGCTACCATGGCTCAGAAGAACTACATATACGCTATGCCTTGTGTGAAGCAACAACCAGAACATTCTGTGTCTGCTGTCTATCCTCACAACACTCTTCTTCATTAACCACATTCTTTCTGGAAGCCAAGGTTAGGTGAGCCCGAAGGAGTGGCCTGTGCCTGTGCCATTTGGTCACCTGCCAGGCCACCAGTGGCCAAATCGTACCCTCCACGTGTGCCCAGTGGGTTCCTGGGCTTTCCCTCCCCAACCACACCAATTCCAAAGGTCTGCTGTCTCCACAGGTGACCTGCCGAGCCCTTGGGATCGGGGCCTACTTGGTGAGGCTGGGCCAGCGAGTGATCCAGGTGGAAAATTCGCACATCATCCTGACGGGAGCCAGCGCTCTCAACAAGGTGACCGAAAAGGAGACTGTAGGGGGCGGGCGTGTGGGGCCAGGACTCATTTTAACATAACCACTGTCTCCCAATGGAGGACTTTTCTCAGTATGAAACCAGTGTCATTCCAACTGAGCTAGGAGCTGTTTTTCCAATTTGTACTCATCTGGGTCTCTCAGGAGCCAAAACAATTTTTTTCTAAGTGTTAGGCTCTTGTGCTAAAACTCTTGCGTGCTGACAGTTTAAATTTTAAAAAAATTATTAAGGTGGCATTATATATTGTAGAAAATTGGAAAAAGACCACCCCCCAAAAAAGTAATTTTGCTCCTACTAAAATTTTGGTGTCTTTCCATCCCATCTTCTGTCTCCATGATGCCTGGTGAGCGTGTGGTTTGGGATTCTGTTTTCACTGTATGAAAACATGTCCCACGTTGCTGTAAAGCCTTGGTAAGATAATGTCTGATAAAATCCCACTGAAGTTCTGCAAGTCTGGTCCCGGAACCAGCAGCAGCAGCACCCGGGAACTTGTTACGAATGCAGATTCCCAGGCCCCGGCGCCAACCTGCCGAATCAGAAATACCCGGTAGGGTTTCGCCTTGGAGAAGACCCAAGTAATCGGTTGGATCGCTGGTCCTCAAATTGGGCCGCGGAGTTCCAACTACCTAGAAGTTTAAGGAAAAAGTACTGATGCCTGGGTCCCAGCCTCAAAAGATTCTGCTGTAATTGGTCCGGATGCAGCCTGGGCATTGGGAGTTTTGAAAACTCCCGGGTGACTGTCACGGGCGGCCAGGGTTGAGGACCGCCGAGGGAGATGACTTCCAAGCAGGTGGAATGGGCCTGAGCCGGGCAGGCCCTTGCTAACCTTGCCATGTCAAAGCAGGTCCTGGGCAGAGAGGTTTACACCTCCAACAACCAGCTGGGCGGCGTGCAGATCATGCATCACAACGGCGTCTCCCACGTCACTGTGCCAGACGACTTCGAGGGCGTGTACACCATCCTGGAGTGGCTGTCCTATATGCCAAAGGTCCGGTATCCCCCCCACTCTGCACCGTAGAGTCTGGAAGACTTTGTCATCAGGTTCACTTGCTGGGTGGTATGGGAGTTTGGGAACCAGGAAGTGCCACCCTTGTGGCTGGGCTTAATTTTTCTTCACTCTGCCCTCCTTCCCTCTCAGACACCCAGCTCTGTCTAGCTGTTCTTTGCTTAGAAAAAAAAAAATGGCACTGGGGCGCCTGGGTGGCTCAGTTGGTTAAGCATCTGACTTCGGCTCATGGTCGTGATCTCACGGTTCGTGAGTTCGAGCCCCGCGTTGGGCTCTGTGCTGACAGTTCGGAGCCCGGAGCCTGCTTCGGATTCTGTGTCTCCCTCTCTCTCCGCCCCTCCCCTGCTCACATTCTGCCTCTCTCTCAAAACTAAGTAAACATTAAAAGAAAATTTTAATGCCATTGTAAGATGCTATGTGCTGATCCTTTATAAAGGGGTGGCCTTGCGTCTCATCAAAAGAGGTAACGCTGAACAATAGAGAACCCTGAAGCTTTGCAGTCGGGCTGGATCCGATTCTTGGCTTCCTCATCGCTAGCAGTGAGACCTTGGGACAGTCTGTGCATCTTCCTGAGCCTCAGTTTCCTCATCTGTGAAATGGGAATAACAATAGCACCTACCCTAGGGAGCTCCCTTGATGATTCAGTACAATGGTGTTGAGAACCTGCACCTTGGCAGGCCCTCACCAAACGCCACTCATGCTGGCGATGACTGGCTAATTCGGGCAGGGTTCTGCGGCGCAGGCAGGCATGATCATGGTCGGAGGAGAGAAGCAGATCACAGGCATGGCTGACCGGCACAGAAGACTGAGGCCGTTTTCTCTTCTAGGATAATCGCAGTCCAGTCCCCATCACCACACCCTCGGACCCCATTGACCGAGAAATTGGATTCTTCCCGTCCAGGGCTCCCTACGACCCCCGGTGGCTGCTTGCAGGACGGCCTCACCCAAGTGAGTCCCTAAGTGCTTTGCCGGAGACCTGGCTCTTGGGTTTCTTTTCTGAAAAGAAGGCGTGAAGGGGCCCTCTGGTAGAAGCCCCGACCGTCCCTTGGTCACACATCCCAGAGGGGGACACCTGAGATCAAACGCAGAGGGAGTGGAGGCTGGGGGTGGGGGGCACTTTTCTCTATACTTTTCCTAAGTTGTTAATAAAGAAGCGGTGGGCACAGGCTCTGGGGTCCTCGGGCTGGCAGATGCAGGGAAAGTGCAACAGGGGGCCTGGCCTCCCTCCGAGCTGCCCCGTGGTTACATAGGCAAATGCAGACGTCAGGGTTTCAAAGACAAGACTACACCCCCCCACCCCCTCTCTGAAAGGGGCAAGCAGGTATTTGATTACCTCCTGAGCAAGCAGAACACCCCAGGGAAGCTGAGCTAAGCCCGTTACCATGATCCCGAGTCTGGAATTTCAGATGCCGCTGCCTTTAGGGATCCGCCTGCCCGTCCAGCTGCGTGGTGCAGGAGGGGTGCCCGTCAGGGGCGCGCCGGGCGCTGCCGGCTCAGGATACCCCGCGGCTCGCTTGCCCCTCTTGTGCCTCTCTCGAGCTTTCTTCCCCGTGAGCTCTGAGGGGGATGGCTTTATCTTGCCTAAAAAAATGTCCACCTTGTTTCTGACCATTTTCCCCATCTAGTCAGGCCAGCCCTCGGGCAGACACGGGAGTTGCGCTGCTTTGTTCTCAGGCACCCAGCCTCCCTCGCTGGTGGCTTGTGACCCTCGCGTCACCTGGCTCCTTTGTCCTTGGCCAAACCGGAGTCACGGACACCAGGGCGCCAATGCTTCCTTTAAAGGGACGGCTGCAATTGGCATCATCATGTTCTGTCCCCTCCCCCTCCCCAAGTCATCTCCCTTCCCCTCCTCCCCCGCCCCTCCCCGAC